ATTTTAAACGATCAGAGATTTAAAAATAACATTATTATCAGTGGTGAAAATGGGCTCTGCCTTAAAACCCACCGAAGCTTTCAGTGTGTTTACTTTATATTCCTTTAATTAAGCAAAATATAACGGGAAACATTCAAGTTCCCTCTGGCTAGCCGTTTTCATTCTGCTCTCTTTCTCAAGGGTAGGGTGAGTGTGATATGCTCATAATCACAGTCCAAGAAAGTATGTGTGCAAATGTGTGTGTGTGTGTGCGTGTGTATGGTGTGAGAGAGGTATAGTGTGCACACGTAGTGTGCTCGCATGCCATAGCGCATGCACAGTAGTCGGACGACAGCCCTGTAGAGCCAGTTCTCTCCTTCTACCTTTATTGGGTCTATGGCTGTTCCTGTTCTATAGTTTGCACAACCAATGCCTCCATTTTCTGAGCTATCTTACTGGCCCTTTCCACCTTATATTTTGAGACAAGGTCTTACTGGTTTGATTCATTTGATTCAGCTAGACTGAGAGGCCAGTGAGCTCCAGGGATCTGCCAGTCTCCACCTCCCCAGTGCTGGGGTCACAGGCAATTGTTGCAGGCACCTGGATTTGTTACATGGGTGCTAGGGATCAGAAGTCTGTTGTTCATGTTTGCACCACAATTTACCAACTGAACCATCTCCCAGCTTCTGATTGAAGATTTTTTTAAACACGGCAGAGTTTCCCAAACAAATCCCTGTCTGTTGCTTAAATCCACCAAGTGTGCGGCATTTTGTTATAATAACCTTTGAAAGGCAACACAGAAAGAACACGGGGAGCAGGGAAAAGAGATTCCTGGGCCTGGAAACCTTGGGATGCACCAGTCTAACAGCTTTGGAAATGGATCGGCAACATTTTACCACTACATACATATGCGCAGCCCAGGAAGGCAGGACATGTGCCCAACACAAACGACACACACACACATATATATAGTTGTTAAAACATTTGAGAAACCTAAGTTCTAAAGACTGCCCATCTTTAGACAAGTTGTTTTAATATCCATATATGTAGCCACTGGGGGAAAAATTACTAAATCCAGGAAGAAAAACACAGGAGGCAAATGCCTAGCATATGATACATCCTTATAAACGGTGACCAATGTTCTATTTGATCTTAGACAACAATGTTCCCATTCATACTGGCGGTATTAAATGTCTCTTCTCTCATGTAATAAATTCCCCTGACATCTGGATTCCCGTGGTGTTTACTACTGGAGACCCCTAAGTTGGGGAATGTTACCACACTTGATTCTGGGGGGTGTTGTTATCATCTATGTATTTGCTTGTTTTTTTATACAGGGTCCTATGTAGCTCAGGATGGCCTCACACTCCTCTATAACAACTTCGGGTGTTTGACCCTCCTACCTTTACATTCTGAGTGCTGGGATTACAGGCATGTGCCACCACACTTAATTTTATGAAATTCTGAAAATCAAACCAAGGACTTTGTGCATGCTAGGCAAGCACTCAACCACTGAGCCAAACCTTCAACCTTGTTGCTTCATCTAAGAAATCAACACGTGGGTCTTGATGTGGCTATAGCATTGCAGCCGTCCCGGAGCCGAGCTCACTCTGCTACCCCGAGTCTGAGATCCCAGTGTTCTGTCAGTTCCAGGAAGGCTCTGGTCGCAGCAGGTTCTTACCTCTCCTCCCCAGCACCATCACTAGTAGGAGAACCACCTCCTCTGACTTCCTCCATCTGGCTCTTCTGGGAAATGGACCCGGATTGTGAGCTCTGCTGAATGAGGGCTTTGTGGTCCATTGTGTCTGTTAAGGCCGTAGTGAACCAGATGTGGGATTTTTTTTTCTTTTTTTTGGCAGATGTGGCTTCAAAAGTTGTAAACACACTTATCAGGAAACTGCAGAACAGGAGGCAGCCAGCGACAGTCAAGGTCACTGACAGGTGACACGGCGAATAAAGGGAGATTAAAAGCCATGACTTGTCTGACACGAACCTATTTGATACTTACGAACAGTAGGCAATGGAACACTGCCGCCCTTGACAAGAAGTCATTGAATACAGCACAATTTCTTAGAAAGTGGATCCCTGTTCTTTTTCTCTAGGAAAGCGGTGAAAGGAGTAGATAAAACAAAGTACAGGTAGCTGCCTACCGACACCCCACGGTTCTCATGAACCCTTACCAACCTTTATTAAGAATTTACCACCGTGTAGGTATTCTGCTAAACACTTGCTTGATTCTCACCCCAGTCCTATTTACCCTCGTTCTAATTGTTACCTTTTTCGGGGAGAGGAAACTGGGACCTGAGGCTTTATGATAGATTTCTCAACTGAGTCCGTGACCCGACAGGACTGGAACCCTGTAACTGTGCCATAATGTTTACTCAGGCAACGGAGATCCTACTCAAGGAGAAGGCAGGAGGTCACTGGATAGAATCCAGATGGCACTGCTTGCTGGCAGTGTAGACAACTGACAAAGAAAACCCTACCTATTTACTGGGCCCTGTGCTGTCTGCAAGCTTAGAAGTGTAAGTCACACAGACCTGCAGGAATGGCCACTAGCATGTGGGAGGGGGGCTGCAGAGCCACCAACCCTTGATTCTGCATCTATGTGGCCTCAGGAAGGGTTTGTAAGCCAAGCTCTCTTCCAGCTCACAATCTGTGTCATGTGTGACCAGGAAATTCACTACTTGAGAAAGGCCGTTTGGGAAGAAGAGTGTGCTGTGCACGGCACAATCATCTCGGAGTGTAGCTTTACAAACAGTTTGAAAATCAGATGTAAGCAACTGGAAACATTCACTGAAAATGAACCAAATTAAAATGCAATTCTCCTGGGGCTGGGGAGCTGGCTCAGTCAGTGAGTTCAGTCTCTGTGTCAAAAGCACGCCTGCAATCCCAGTGCTGAGGGAGGGGAAGGCGGCTCTCTGGTGCAGTGAGAGACCCTGCCTCAAACAGTAAGGTGAAGAGTGATAGAGGGAGACAGACGCTCAACACCAAGGACTGGCTTTCACGTGCACACACACAGGCAAGCATGCACACACACAAGCAAGCATGCACACACACAGGCAAGCATGCACACACACAGGCAAGCATGCACACACACAGGCAAGCATGCACACACAAGAGGAATGATGTGAAAAGACATAAAGAAGGTGAGGTGGGAGAGGTGAGGACAAGATGGGGCATTCTTGAATCAAATTCTCATCACACTAATTTCTAGCTGTGTGACCTGGATAAGTGATTGATCTGTTCCAGAGAGCTCTCTGTCTCCCATTAGGAAATAGCTTTATACTGTATGGTTCAGCTATTTTAAAACATCGGAAAACCTGGAAGAATATGCCGAAGGAAGGATGAGTGCGTCATAATCACATTAGCCCAAGACTGGGCCCCGGGGTCAGAGCATTGGTGCATATTCACAAGCCTGTCGTAGTTACTTACTGGGCACTGGGTGCTAGGTGCTGAGTGTTGGGCGCTGGGTGTTGGGAACTGGGCACTGGGTGCTGGGCACTGAATAAGGCAGGTATGGCCACTCCTATGATTTGCTGTAAGGGTTTAAGAGACACCCAGATTCCAAAGCCTCAGTACGGAACAGGGAAACTTCATCATTTTTAGATTGGTCACAGGCTGAGAAGGCAATCTTTGAATATTCAGTGATAAGTGCCATATGTTACTAAAATTAATTTTATTTTAAAATTTATTAGAAATTTTAAATGATGTGTGACTTGTATTTTATTTCTATTGAGTCAAGCTTCTCTGTCTACTTTCTCTTGCTCCCAAACATTATTATTCATGCTGCTGCTGTTGTTATTAAAATAGAAGGAGGCTATACATATTGTTTTATAAGCCTGCTATTTTGTGAAATAATTTACTTTAAATATTTTTCACATATCAGTAAACTGAAATTCTCGTCCATCATTTTGACACCTCCGTATTGTAATACTGAATAAATGCATCAGGATTTCGCCAGCCTGCAGCTGGACATTTTAAAAGGCTATTTGCTTTGCTTTGTTTATTTTCTTTTTTTTTTTTGCATCCCCCCCTCTTTTTATTTCCTTTGCTGTTTTCTACTGGTACATAGAACTCTTGGAATCTCTGTGCTCTCGTTCTGTTGTCCGTTTCAGATGTAGACTTCTAAAATCTATGTAGGATTCACACAAAGCGATTACGTCCCAGGATCTCTGGACCAGTTCCATTCTGCATGAGGAGTGCTCTTAGGTGGGCGTGAAACAGTGCTGTGATATTAATAGCCTTTGGCAAATCTGCTTGAGGGACTAAGATGCTTCGTCCTGGGACCCAGACACGCGAAAGGAATGACTCAATGCCCAGGCTCCAGAGCAGAGAGCCATGTTCCAGTCATGGATCTACGTCTTCTCTAAAGGATGGCATCGCCCTTTTGCAAGTTCTCTGAGACGGACACCTATAACTAGTCACTTCCTTCTGAGGTTACTCTGAGTATTAAATGAAACATCATATACAGAACTCAGCTCCATCTCTGGCTCTTAGAAGTCCCTGGAATTGTACTTATTAACACTTTTGTGATCTTATTTGGGTATTCCAATCCAATACACACAAATACACACAGATAGCTGCAATTCTCTCAGATCGTCCTCTCTCTCCACCACGTTTTTTTCCTAAATAGAGATCTATTTGCTAAAATAAATTGAAATGGGTAAAGAGTGTGAGGTACAATTTATACTGGCTATATCTGCAATTACGAACTCTGAATTAAACATACCCCTTCATGAATAATGAAGCAGAAATAGGCCAAAGGAAAAATGAGATAAGATCTTCAAATCCATGTATTTTTAATTGCTTCATTATCTAAAATTTTCTACGAATAGCAGGAGATACAGTTTGCTGTTTAAAACACAAAACGAAATTAAGAATTTTCAGCAAATCACAAAAGGCTATCAAAAATTAATTCCGTGTGCTCTCATCACTGCAAAATGTAAGTGATTTTGGAGGCCCAGTGACATTAAAAAATGCCATTTATATGCTAATAATAAATGAGCTGTATTTTTTTTCATTTTGATGCAAAATAAATTTTATTTTCATTTTAATGAACTGTAACGAATTAAAAGTATTTTCTTTTTATCTTTAGGTGAAAGTTTGGCACAGATAGGAGAAGGTTGGCAGCGGATGGGCAAGGGGTCTGAGAGAAATCAAAACTGAGAACTTTCCTCTTAGTGGTATTGACCCACGCTTGATGAGTGCGTTCAGAGTCAAGGTAGATGACCGCAGGTTTACAGGAATCCACAAAAGCTGGGTCCTCTCAGGGGCTGCAAACTACCCATTAGTGCCGTATTAGAAACAGATATATGTGAATCAGACTGGATTAATTATATTTTTTTGAACATTCATATTCTAGACTCCAAAAGAAAAACACGGCCAACTATGCAGTTCCTGGCGCCCACCTGGCTCTCTGGGTATTGTCAGTGCTAATGTTTATTCTTCAGTGGTGTCTTACTTGAAGTAGGCACTTGGCTAAATTCCACAGCTTTAGTTACTTTCCCCATCCCTGTGACAAAATATCTGGCGGCCCAGTTTAAGGGAGGGAAATGTCTTCTGGTTCAAAGTTTCAGACGGGTTCTGCCCGTGCGTGCTTGGCTCCGTGTACTCAGTCAGACCATCGTGGCAGCTGAAGATCTGTTCACCTCATGGCAGATAGGAGGCAGCTGCAGAGGCACAAACTGGAGCCCAGTACAACCTTGAAAGGCAACCCTCAGCCACCTGCTTTCTCCAGGAAGACCACATCTCTCAAGTGACACCAACAGCTGGGCACCAAGCATTCCCCACACCTGTAAGGGACAGCTCTTGTTTACACCGTAACATTACTCTTTAATCTACGTGGCAGCCCCAAGAAGTTGGTATTTGTATGATCCCCATTTTACAGATAAGAAGACTAAAGCCCAGAGAGGGTTAATACCCCATGACAGCACAGCTGGGGAGTTTAGAGCTGAACCTATGTCTGCCTATGGGTTCAGGGCCACAGCATTTAGCTCATGGGCAGCGCCACTTCCTCTATAGGAAGGAGGAAACAGAAGGTCAATGGTACACCCAAGGTTGAACTTCAAATGGTGACAATCATTGAGGAAAGGGGACCTCTGGCTGCTTCCGATATCATTGCTCATCCCGACTCATTCCTGGATTGTACCCTGTCTACATCTACAGAGCGATTAGCTAGCCCATCAGATCTTACACGTGGAATGGGTGAGGTTTCTGTATATGTACATCACATACAGATTGGGTGACAAACACCCAGAGCTCTGAAGAGCTGAGAGGCCTTGCACTTTGACTTTGGGACAGATATTTTTCTCTGATATGTGACTTCGTTGGAGCAAGAATCTCTGCTTCCACATCCATTCCTGTGCTCCCTACTTCCCAGTGTCCCTCGTTCTCAGATGTCTGTCAGGTTGTCTCTTCTTGGCATGTTGATGGTAATTCTCTCTAGCCAGGGTCTTTTTTTTAAAAAAAAAATGGGAGCTAGTGAGTAATGGAGCAGTAACTCACCCTTCAGATTGGGTGGACCCAAGGCCACGGGGCAGCTCCTATTAAATGGGAAGGTCTGAATTATTATCCTATAATTCACCCCCTGGAAGTGTCTTAATTCAATTATACTCTGTCCCCCTGAATGACTAGTAAAAGAAATGGAAAGGAAAAGGTCCTGGATCTTTTCTTGTTACAAACCGAAGTAATTTCCAGGGCCAAGACTTCTTCCTTTAAAGTCATTAGGAAGAAAATTAAGCAAGAAGATGAAAGGAAAGTGCTCTGTCAGTGTGGCGAGGCCACCGCCAGTCAGGCGTCAGTGCGCAGAGCAGTCCTAGGAAGCGGCAGGATGTGAGCCGCGTCTCTTTGACCGATCTTCTTTATGTCTTGTGGTGTGTGTGTGAGGGAGGGGGGCACTGAGTTGTTCTGTGTAGCTCTCTTACTGATTATGAGTTAAAATTACTGCAGATGTCTCTTACACTGTCTAAGCAATGACCTGGGAAAGTTTGGATAATTAGTAGAGGCGGGCAGCTGTGCACGGTGGCACATACCTATAATCACAGTGGTTGCGAGAGGTGGGAGGACCCCAAATTCAAGGCAAGACTGGTCTGGAGAGTGAGACTGTATCTCAAACAAACAAATGAACACGCAAAAGATCCAGGGAAGTAGCTCAGTGGTCAGGCACTTACTCAACGTGGACAAGACTCCAGCTTCAACCCACAGAAGTACTGGAAAGAAATAAGAATAAAATCTATTTGGGAAAAAAAATGCAGATGTCTTCAGTTTGGTGACAGGACCGTGTTCAAATGGAATCGAGAATAATCCAAGTTGGGAAAAGTCAAAGACCTTAGGGTTCCGTTCTCCTAAAAGCAGAGCCTGAAACAGGGATTCAAGACTGCAAAGCTGAGAGGAGAATGAATAAGACGAGGAGGACGTGTGGGAGGGGAAGAGGCCAGCGCAAACTGTTTGCTTTAGCTCTTAAGCGTCCTCCAAATGCTACTGTGTCCAGTGTGTAGTTCTTGGGATGCTGCTCCTCCGGGCAGTGGAAGCTTTAGGAGGCAGAGCCCACTTGGAGGACTTTAGGTCACTGGAGGTGTGCCCTTGAAGAAGATACTGGGACCCTGTTTCCATTCCCTCTCACTCTCTTTCTCCTCTCTCTTCTCCCTCTCCCCATTTTGTTCCTGACCATCATTGTAAAGGAAGAAGCTGTGTTCTACTGCAAGTTCCCTGTCAGAATTCTCTGCCTCACTAGGGAGACGCCCTCAACAATGGGGTCAGACAATCATGGATTGCAACCTCTGAAGTCATGAACCAAATAACTCTTTATTCTTTTAATGCTTTTTCCTGTGTGTCTTTGTCAGAGCCACCATGAACTGACACAGTGTCGTTACTTTTTCAGTTGAGACTCAGTCCTACTGGGATCCCAGAAAAAGTGCATTGTAGGCTAGGATGGAGGTAAGGGGCCTGGTCCTGGGATAGTGTAGAATAAGCTCCTAAGGGAAGTAAGAGAACTGGGGTACTCACACAACAGCTCCTTTCAGCATGATGCCCAAGAAAATTACAAATGGGTCGACTTTGTTCCTGCTGCCACCTTGCCTTCCAGGAGTCTAGAACATTTGCCTGGCCTTTCAGTCAGCTTTGCTCCAGTCCCTCGAAATTAATATGCTCAAAACTCCACAATACCACTGTCAAATTAAAACAACATCATCCTAAAGCCTTCTTGAGTCATCCGCTTAATAAGATAAATTTCTCCAAACCATACCCATGGTCTACTGAAGATAAAATGATGAAAACTCAGTCTGTGACCCATCTCCAATCCTCGAGAGGCGAGGCTCAGTCCCATCATCACTGCGACCTGGGTTTCTGGGATGCTGTGAGAAACCACAGGAGGACCCAGGACAAAGTTCTTTATAAGCCTGCTAGGACTTCACCCATAAGTAGCCACTGTGACACAGAGGAGCCGGAAGAGCGCTTGCTTTGGGGATATAAAGACACTTCAATAGGGGAGATCATGAACCTATCCCTCCTTTTTAACTTGGTTGCCATGTGCATGACTTTTGTCCTGCAAAAGTCATGTGTTAGGAGTTCAGTTCCCAGAGTAACAGGGTTAGGAAGTGATTGAAGCTTTACGAGTTGGGGCCCAGTGAGGTGTGCTCTTAGAAGGGATCATAGCCCCCTAGTCTCTCTCACACTTCTTGTTCTGCTCTGTATATATTCTTGTTATCTGTCAAAATTCTTTCTAAGCTGGTGCAGGTACTGCTGTGATCTGAATCTGAAATTTCCCACACAAGCTCTTGAATGCTTGTTCCCCTGGTGGTGGTACTTTTTGGGAAGGTTGTGGAGCTAGTAGGAAGTGGGGCTTTTCTGGAAGAAGGGAGTCAGTGGGTTCATGCCTATAGACATTATAACCTAGCCCTGAGTCCAAGTCCTTCTCTCTCTCCTTCCTGACCCACAGCGATGTGAAAAGCCTCCACAACATATCCCCACCTCCAGGAACAGTTTTCCTTCCGTGAGGGACTGAAGCCCAAAGAGAACTTTTCTCCCTTAAGTTGCTTCTGCCAGTGTCACAATAGGAACAACTACAGGTGTGTGCCCTTAAGCATCTAGAACCAAGCAGTCTCCTTCGGCAAAACTGGTCTTCCCAGGGCTTTGTTGGTCCACTTTTGGTTTGGGGCACTGAATGAATCAAAGGGATAGAGACTAGTGTTGACAACTCACACACTCCATCTAGGGAACAGGATTAGCTTTAGAGAAATTCTGTGTGGTCTATTAAAATTGGTGGTGCAATTAAGGACAGGGGAGATGGCTTAATTGGCAAAGTGCATGTCATGCAAACACAACGGTTCAATCCCTAGCATTTACATGAAGTCATGCATGCATAATCCAAGTAACTAGGGAGTGGAGACAGACAAATCCCTGAGCTCCCCATGCAGTCAGCCTTGCTTACCTACCGAACTCCAGGTTCAAGGAGAGACCCCATCTCAAAAGGGGGCTGATCGCTCCTGAGAACAACATGCAAGACTGACCTCCATATCCAGGTCAGTCTCCATATGCATTTGCGCAACATGCTAGACTGATGTCCAATACCCAATGTTGACCTCCCTCTGCATTTGCACACAGGTGTTATGTGAGCCCCACCCCCCCACACACACAAATACACACACTCACCAAAGGGAAAAAGAGATATATTTACTTCAGGATCCAGGTTTCTAGTTTGAGTGTAAAAGGTCTTGCTTCACTGACCCCCAGAATGCCTCAGTCCTGGCTGCACCTTTAGCAGGTGCCCTGGCACATCGTGGTCCTCTCCATTAGACAGTAGCCAGCACTTCCTACTACCTAGCTTTGCCTCCCCCTTGTCTGCTAGCCTTTGTAGGCTTTTTGAGCTTATGGTGTTCTATTGCATTGGCCCAAAAGTTCGTTGTTCTGGAAGTACACAGGCTAAACAACAAAATTCAATTCAAATTTACTTACTTTTCCAACCACTTTAAGGAGGAAGAGGCGGTTGAAATGTGATTCTTATTATCAACTATGAGTATATTATGGAGCGGATGGGTGCCTGTCAATGCATTATTCCATTTAGAATGGGAAATGGTACTCCATAGGCAAAGTTCAGCGGGCCAGGCTAGACACCTATCGAGCTGAAGGAACGCCTGCCTTAGTGTGCAGCTCACAGGTGGAAGAGGAAGGCACTCCACACTCAAGTAATAGCCTTACAATGAGATCTCCGTCTGCCTCTGTGGACCCAGGACATCTTTGCTGCGGGATGGTTACACACATGGAAATGGGGCAATGGGTGGTGACTCCCTATTGAGGAAAAGCATAGGGTGTGTGGTGGAAAACCAGTTGTGTGGAGCATAAAAGTCATGGGTAGCATTTGGAGAGGCATGGAGGAAAGGGGGCAGACTGGGGCCTCCAGTCCATCTTCTCCTTTTCTGTAATTGCCAACGTCAACAGATTCCATTCAGAACTATATTCAGTGCATACCATGTTTCTTAGGTAAATGATATGAGCGTTGTGATCAGAGTATGTTGTAGGGTCTGGGAAGTAGATCTGCCCCGGGCATGGCAGGATTCTAGTCGTGTCCTTGCTTTAGACAAGATGGCATCTACCAGATGACAGAGGTACCCCTCCCAATGTCCTCTAATGAGCAATCTCACCTCTGGCAGTGAACTACTGGCTTTAACCTATGCAGCGTTTAATTTTTTTTTCAAATTAGTGAACTACCTGTTAAAATTAAGTAATATTGCTTATATATTTAATTCCACTGGAAAACATGGAGCTAAGTAAGGTCACCCAGATCCGGAAAGACAAACGTTACACATTCTCACCCGTATATGGATCTCAGCAGCAAATCACTAGATTTGTGTGTTTAACTTGGATAATCCAGGAAACTAGGAAGAAACCATTGTTGAGGAGGAAGGAGAAAGATCCTAAGGGAAAAGGGGGTTAGTGGAACCCAGATGACATGAAGGAGAAAAGGGGAGCCGTGGGGAGGAAGGGTTAAGTGGGGAGAGATGGTAGGACAGGGGAGAGGCGAGGAGAGGATTGGAGGAGAGATAACACTAAGAAAGTTTGGAAAAGTCATATAGAAATCTACCTACCTACTGGTCATAAGACATATATTAAGATTTGATATATGTATTTACAGATAAATATAGATATTAGTTTAATGGTTGTTACCGTACCCAGGAGATAATGCTTCTTTTCAGGAATCTATAGGCCACCAAATTAAATGCCCAGTGTCTGAAATAGGATATTACCCCTTGTGTTGTTGGTCAAGGGTGTCTTGAAAACCTCCTTAAACAATACAGGCAATTGCTACTGATCTCTGCAATAACTAAAGTTAATGTGAAGACCATATTGCTGAGTCCAAATGGATCAAAGACCTCAACATATAGCCAGCCACACTGAACCTTATAGAAAAGAAAGTGGGAAATATACTTGAACACATTGGCACTGGAGACCACTTCCTAAATATAACCCCAGCAGCACAGACATTGAGAGAAACAATTAATAAATGGGACCGCCTGAAACTGAAAAGCTCTGTAAAGCAAAGAACATGGTCAACAAGACAAAATGGCAGCCTACAGAATGGGAAAAGGTCTTCTCCAACCCCACATCAGACAGAGGTCTGATCTCCAAAATAGACAAAGAATATCAAGAAATTGATATTCAAGAATACCAAATAATCAAATAAAAAATTGGGGTGCACACCCAAACAGAGAACTCTCAACAGAGAAATCTAAAATGGCTGAAAGACACTTAAGGAAATGCTCAACATTCTTAGTCATCAGAGAAATGCAAATCAAACCAACTCTGAGATTCCATCTTACACCTGTAAGAATGACCAAGATCAAAAACACTGATGACAACTGGAGAAGGTTGTGGGGGAAAGGGAACACTTCTGCATTGTTGGTGGGAATGCAAGCTGATACAACCCCTTTGGATGTCAGTGTGGTGATTTCTCAGAAAATTGGGAAACAACCTTCCTCAAGACCACTTTTGGGTATATATCCAAAGGATGCTCAATCGTGCCACAAGGACATGTGCTCAACTATGTTCATAGCAGCTTTGTTTGTCAGAGACAGAACCTGGAAACAACCTAGTTGCCCCTTGACCAAAGAATGGATAAGGAAAATGTAGTACATTTACACAATGAAGTACTACACAGCAGAAAAAAATAATGACATATTGAATTTCGCAGAAAAATGAATGGAGCTAGAAAACA